CAACTTGTCCGTAATGTAAATTCTGAACTCTGCTATTCATAAAGAGAATGATGTACCAAACTTGTTGGTATCCGAAGACTTGTATCTTTCCAATTGTTGTGCAAGCCCAGTGTTCACCCCTCATTTAGAATGGTTCAGTCTTTCTTGCACTGGTAATGGGATGTACCATTTCAGAATAGGTGTGTCAAGGTACTATTCAGAGGGGAAACTTGTTTCATGAGATGTAAAGTGTTTGATGATACCAGAGCTTGCACACTCGGACTTTGGAAAAAATATGAAATTTTTTAAGCATGGATATTATGTCTGCTGCCAAATGTGTTGAATTCATTTTTGTTCTATGGCTGTTTATCCATGGATTTCTTCATTTTATTTCCCCCCCTCATTGCCTCCCCTTTGTTTTTGTAAAAAGTAGGACCACGTTTCTTTTGGCATTTGTAAGGCCGGTGTACGTGAAATACCCCTCTTGACTGCTGCTTGACATGTTCCACCTCCATGTATGTTTACAAGCCTCATACATAGTTGTCCTCAGATATGTAACATTTCTAAACACATGTACAGGGCACATGTGGCTGTATTGAAAAAAAATGTGAAAAAAAAACAGGTATTGCATTGTTACAGACCATCTTCCACCATGTTGTTATGATTGTGATATCGGTACATTCGTATAGGAACTGTTAGACACTAGGTGAAGGGAAATAGTGATATACTGTACATCCAGGGGAGACTTCAGGCCAAGTTTCGAACCAAGCTGCCATGAGGAGTTGCATTGTCACTCTGATGATATGTCTGCCATCCTATACTATAGTCCCTTTGACTCCACCACGTCAGCTTTCTATGGCAAACGCTGGATATACCTCAGTTACGAAACCAACAGTCTGCATTGTTGAACAACTCTGTGCACTTTTTGTAGCTGACTTGAACACCATGTAAAGTGTTAACGGAAACTGATGCTACTCTGGGAAAATCCAGTTCATGACGGAAAAGATTTTTTCGTCTGACCCAGCCCCACTTTTTGTCATGTTTTAGGAATGTACAGTTA